GCCTCCTGGGAAAATACATCTTAATATTAAATAAAACCTGCAGACATTAGGCCTGGTATTTTTGACTCTAAACTGGTAGTCAGACAGAGACCCATTTCAAGTCAGCTCTTTTCTTTTTTGTGTATTGTACTAACTGGTTTCCAAATTAACTTGTTTCTTGCTTGTATAGAAATTTTCAAGTTTTTTCATACCTTAAATGATCAGGGGACAATTTGGTATTTAAAAAACTATTATTAAGAGTACTTCCATAAAACAAAGAATCCTTTTGAAATGCATGTAACTGCCCAGGACTTACTTTCTGTGAAAATTAAGAATTTCCTGTGTTGAATCTCCACACGGAGGAGCATGCCAGAGCAAACACACACACAAACAAAAAACGTCAACAACAGAAACTTGTGATTAGGACAGGAGCTATTTTTGAAGACACTGTTGACTGGTTTGTAGGCGGCCAAAACTGCTTATGGCAGCATTTTGTACCCAAGAGGTAGGTGTACAGCTGACTTTTATTTGATGGATAAATGAAAAGTGGGGCCCACCTGGCTGTGGACTACAAAAACTTATCCATTCAAGACTGATGACACTTTGAAGGGGCCATTCACAGAGGGGGCAGCACAGGAGAAGGCATTTTATTCCTGTGGGTAATGGGAACTCACTTTTCTTAAACAGTATGTTCTCACATACAAATGTAGGGATGGAGAAGGGCTTACTGTGAGAATTAAATATGATGGTGTGCAAAAAGCACTTTTTGAGTTGTATCCCCCTGGTATATCAACAGAACTTCAAAAAGTAGCTGTTTCTGTTATATCAGGGATAAGAGAATGGATTGGAAACAATGGGTCCTTGGACAACTTAGAGAGAATGTAAGGTGGAGAAATTTACAAGTCATAGTTACTCTTGAGGTTGCTGATAAATATCAGAATTAAAGATAAAAGGATCTAAACACAATGCATACATACTCATGCTGATGTGCAGTGGAATGCACAGTTGAAAGGAAAGTGAGTCCAGCCTGTCTGCATGGGGAGACTGAGTCTCACAGGTGGGATGCAGGAAGCTCAAAGGCATGGAAAATTGGTGGTTTTAGCTTTTGTGTTTAATTCAGTTTCCAAAAACCTCCTGAGTGACCAAAGACCTATTCAAATCAGCAAAAACTAACTCTGCTGTTGCATTTAAGGATGAGTGTAGTCAACAGAGCAGAACTAATGAATAATTTTTGATGATACGAACTAAATGGAATCGCACTATATGAATTCACAATTCACTGTAGCAAAAGAAAGCTCCCTTTGGAAAAAAAATAAGCCAGCTTTCCAACACAAGGGTAAGAAATCTGGGCACAGAGCAGCAGGGATGAGGGCAAGGCTGAGCCATGACAGGACATTAGAACTATGCTCAGAGAGACCCAGGCTCCACACAGAGGCAAATTTTTGAATGAGCTGGTTAACACTTTATGCTTTGGTTCAGAAAGACCCTTGTTCAAGTCCTGACTGCAACCCACAAGTTACCTGACCTTGTTTGCATAAGTCACCCATCTTACTGACTCTCAGTCTCACTGTCACCACCTGCAAAAGCAGAGTGATAGAACCTACTCCACAGAGCTGGTATGTGGAATCATTAACAAATTTCCATCCCGCTAGACTCTCATCTGGGCTAGGGGAATACAGGCATGACAAGAGCAGACACGTTCCTTGCCTTCATAGACCTGGTATCCTGGTATAAGAGAGAGGCGGTTAATAGGTGAATATAAAGTATATGAAGGTGCCTCTGATGGGGAGTGCCATCAGAGGGTGGGCATGTTTTATGTAGGACTTCAGAAAGCTTCTACATTGAGGCGATGTTTGAATACAGACTCTGTGGGTAGGTGATAAGTCACAGGATGTGTTTGGACAGCTGGGGCAAAGACCCCTGCAGACCTTTTGGTTTAAGGACTGGCAGGGAGGCCAGTGTGGCCAGAGGGAAAGGAGAAATGGGGGTGGCAGTAAAAATGATGTCAAAGAGATATTGGGGTCTAGACCACAGAGGACTGTACTGTCCAACGTGGAAGCCACCCGACAAATGTGGCTCTTAAGCGCTTGAGATGTAGTTCTGAAATGAAGTGTGCAGTAAGAGTAACAGATATATTGGATTTTGAAGATTTAGTAGAACAAAAGCGTGTGAAATATTTCATTAATAATTTAATATTGATTATATGTTTACATAATAGTATTTTTGATATATTGGGTTAAATAAACCATATTATTAAATTGGTTTCATCTGGTTTTTTTTTTTCACACCCTTATGCTGGCTGCTAAAAAATTTAAATGACGTACGTGGCTGGCATGATATTGGGTGTTATAGGTCACAGTGTGGAGCTGGGTGTTTACTTGAACAATATGTAAAGTAAACAAATATGCACATAAAGCTCGTGGCATACTTCCCAGAACATAGTCAGGGAAAGTTTATTAAACTACATTTCCATTCATAGATAAACTGTTTAAATGTAAAGGCAAATAAAGATATTTGGAAGGCAGAGACAAATGTATTTGGAAAAATAAATTAATTAATTTAAAAAAAAGAAATTTTGGGATTTCAGAAAAGAAATTTGGCACAAATATTACATATTGTAATGTTCCTGGTGAAGTATGGGGCAGCACCCCAACATCAAGCATATATTTCATTTTTGCAATTCATAAAAAAAGATATTTGAAGGGGAAGACAATGAACTTAAGAAATATAATAATACTAGTAAAAGTTAAGTTTAAATAATTATTGAGAATGTAGTGATAAGATAAATGGAAGTAATGTCTATTGAAATATAAAGCAAAATAAAATTAAAAAGAATCTGACAAACAGATACAACTGGATCTATACCTAAATTTCAAATGGATCAGAGAAAAAAAGGCATTAAAAAAACCCATACAAGTATTTTAGCCATCCTGGTAGATGTGAACTGGTTTTATGCTTTTAACTTACATTTCCATGATTCCGATGGGGTTAAATAATTTTTATGACCTTACTTCTTTTATAAAGTGCATGTTTAAGACATCTTCTCATTTTCTGTAATGTTGTCATTTCTCATTGATTTCTAGATATTCATATAGATAATCCTTTGTCAAATATATGCATGACAGATATGTTCACCCAATTTCTGATCTGCCTTTTCATTCCTGTATTGATAACTTTAATCAGAAGAGACCTTCTAAATTTCAATGTCATCTAAATTTTTCAATCTTTTCTTTTATGGTTGGTACTTTTTGCGTCTTGTTTTTAAGAAAATGTTTACCTACCCTGAAATTAGGGTGATATGCTATCTTTAGGAGGCTTTATTTTTACCTTTTTCTACTCCAGTCTATGATCCTTCTCTAATTTTTGTGTGTGGTGTGATGTATGGGTTCTGGATTATTGTTTTTCAGCTGGATATGCAATAGACCCATTACCATAAATTGAAAAGATATGCTCTTCATTACATTGTAATGTCACTTTTGTAATAAGTCAAGTGACAATACATTTGTAGATTGGTTCGGGGGGTTTTTTTCTGTTCCTTTGGTCGATTTGTTTACCTTTGTGCCCTTTCCATACTGAATTAATTACTGTGGCATTAATGTAAATCTCTGGAGTTGGTATATAAAGTCTTCACTTTGTTCTTTTCCTTCAAGAATATTTTGGCCCTTCTTAGTACAGGCACATTTTAGTATATTTTAGTATAAGTTTGCCAGTTTCTTTCCCCCCTCTCTCTCACACAACTGATGAACAATATTAACACCAAAAAAAGCAGCAATATGATTAGAAACTAGAAAAATTAAATATCCATGTATCCATACTGATATAAAAATTTAGTGAGTAAACAATTCAGGGAAGGGGTCTATATTTTCCTTACAAAAGAACTTTAAATAGTAAATGTAGACAGATTGAGGAAAATAACAAATGACTATTAATATACCATAGCAAAATCCACTGATGAATGGTAAAAGTAGTAGGCAAAGTTTAATAAAAAACAGAATATTTGCAGAGTCTTGATGTTTCTTCCCTAAAGTATCTATTAATTACTATGTGGTTTTGACCCATGTCCACAAATTCTCCATTCTTCCTGCCTTGAGTGTGAACTGGACTTAGAGACTGACTTCTAATGAGTAGAGTATGGCAAGGGAAAAATGGTACCTTGATACTGAGTAAGTCTGGCAGACACCACCTAACCAAATAATAAAGATTCATACCACCATAACCAGATATACTGACATCATGTACCTCTGATACGATGCAACAAGAAGTGCCAAATTTGTGTTGTTCTTCCCCCAAATCTATAACCCCTCCAATCAGAAAAACTCAGAGGAGCCCAAATTAAGGGATATTCTAAAAAATAAGTGGCTCCTACTTTTCGAAAATCTCAATGCCATGAAAGAAAATGACAGGATGGAGGGACTGTTACAGATTGAGAGACTAAGTGCAAAGTGATCTCCTGGATGGAATCCTGAAACAGAAAAAAAATGTTAGTGGAAAACTGCTGAAATGTGGTCAAAGTTAGAAGTGTAGTTAACACTAATGTGCTGATGGAAATTTCTTAGTTTTGACAATATTCCATGGCTACACAAGATGTTAACATTAGGAGAAGCTGGGTGAAGTGTGAACAGAAACTATACTAGCTTTACAACTCTTCTGTAAACCTAAAATTGTTTCAAAATAAAAAGCTATAATGAATTTCTTTTAAAGTTCTTCACTGTGATTATCAGATAAATTTATGCATGCAGGCCCACTTTCTGTTTTATACATTCCTGAGTGTGACTTTTTTCTTCTTTTTGAAAGCAGCATTTATAATGAAAAAGAATTCCACTAGGATTGTAGAAAAGCCTTGACGGAACTAAGTATGTAGAAAAGTTCGTTCAAAAGCTGCACCAAGAAGACAGAATGCCCCTGCGTAGGATGAAAACACCAGGAACCTTCATCATGTTTTGAGTCAATAAAAGTACCACTTGGACCTGGAATTATGTTCAAGGTGTGAGGGGACAACGATACAGAATTTAATTACTCACCAGGGTGGCTTTCCTCTGTGGTTTCAGCAGCTTTGGTTTGTGGAAGGTAGCGGCTATGGGTGCTGTGGAAATATGTCAAGGGTTCAGCTTGTAATTCCCCCCAGGACTCAACCACCCATATGTCATGAGCATCACAGACATACTCTATGGAGATGCAGGGACTCCTTCCTACCCCCATGGAAGAACTCTCATTTCTCATCTAGGTATCAGTGGATGCCCATCTTAGTCCTTGGACGTGTCAGCCTCTGCCCTCATCAAGTTCAACAAAACACTCTGTATAAAGCTCTGTCCCCTGCAATGAGGTCAGGTGTGCAGGTAAGAAACAGGTGGGATTGGTAAAGGCTGAGGCTGGTACCTTCCCTGTGGTCCTAACTGCACACTAATGCTGACATCAATGACCTTTGACCTTCACAGCAGCCCTCATTGGTCATCAGGGAGGCTGGAAACTGAGAAAGAAACCAAGGCCCTTAAAAAGAAGGAAACTAAGGACCTTCCCCTAACATGACATAACTAGTATTTAGATTATTTGAGACTTGAACTTGGCCTTGAAAGTCAGACAGACCTTACTTCAAAGCCAGGCTCTACTACTTAGCTCTCTGAGGTGCACTTTCACCTTTTTGAAGGGAGGGTACTATCTACTGTGATTGATGGGACATTAGAGCAGCATGTGTCTGACCCAGGCAGGGGCTCTCTGCCCCATTTCCTAGCCAGATCTGCACTTGTCATACCTCACAGAACACCATGCCATCTAGCCCCCCTACCCACCCTACCTATGTTCAGCCTTAGCACAACTGGACTTCACTGCAGGGCTCCAAGTATCCCTAGGGAACATCCTGTGAAGCCTTAATTGAGGGATAAAATGTATTTTGCCTCACTATTAAATTGTTTGCCTGGACAATCCTAGTACTTCCAACTATATTTAAAATTTTTGAGGTATGACGTTCTCTTAAATTGGCCACAGTTATTTTAGAAACTATCTATAGATGGTCTTAATTCTCCTAAGACATGTGCAGTTCTCTCCTCCATAAATACCCTTCCTCCTCATTTTCATTCCTCTAAGTCATAACTGGAATCAAAGGATAACCCTGGTTTTATCCTCAGAACAAATATAAAATAAATTACATACCTGGTTTACATCTAATAGAAAAAGCAAAGACCCTTCTTTCCCTTGAATGAACCAAGAAGATGTGACATCCTCATGACCCTCCCCACTATGTGCAGAGCATATTGATAGCTCAAAGTAAAATATACTATGAAATCAATCCGGGATGTTAACCTCCTATGTCCCCGCTAAAGCCGTGCTGGGCCAATGGCACCACCCCCAGCAGCACCCCAGGAATGGGGCTCAGTTTAGACCACAAACTAGGTGGGGTTCTCTGGACCATGTGACAACTAGATGGCACATCATCCATCTGTCTGCTCCCCCTGTCCTGACTCCACATCAAACCCCTCGTCCACTTCTGGAGCAGTCATGGTGCTTTCCTCATGGATAACTGCAGGCTGGCTTCCTACCTTTGGCAGGGACTGCAGGAGGAACGTCAGCCTTTTCCTTCCGCCGCTTGCCCTTCTTGGGCTGCAATGGGGCCAAGCTGGTCACGCTGGTGACAGTCTCCCCTGAGCTGTAGAAGAAAGGGGTACTGATGAAGGAACAGCAGGTTTGTTCCAGGGAAAAGGAAAGGAAGCAAGAGTTTCCAATTGTTCCCTGTGTACCCTTTTTAAGATAGGGTTACCTTACAGCTGAACTGGGATTGATTGCTCTTTGCTTATCTCCAAGGATGTCTGGACGTCTGGTACTGACACTTGGCTGAGATAAGGCCAATTAGATGAGCTAGTTAGTGACTTACAATGTGTTGTTCAAAGTTTAAAAGTCCTGGAGACCCCCAGGGCCAGCCTATCTATATCTCCTAGGGATGTATAGATTTATGGTTTTATACCAGGTTTCATTGGTCACAGTCTGGCTTCCTATATATCAGTAGAGTATTAAGATATCACTAGAAACTTCTGCTTGAGCTCTTCTAAAACCAAGATTCTTTGCACATATCTTTGTGATTCACAGCTGAAAACAGAGCAGCTCCTGTGCAAGTGAGAAAGGACCTTGGGGAGTTGCACCTGGAAGTCCCAAAGGTCCCCATGATTGTTCATGCTTTCTTTTCCTGCTGTAACTTTACCTTCAGTACAGGCTAAGTGAGTGCAACTCCAGGAGTGTTGTTCTCAATTACTGACTGTAGTGTCAGATCCTTTCTTTGTGTTATCCACAATAACACGAAGTGATGAGGCTGATAAGCCTTTTATTACAGGTAAAAAAAACCCAAGACTTAAAGGTACTAAATAACTTTCTCTAAGTGACAATGTTAGTAAGCAGCCTCCATGAAAGCTGTAAACACAGACTGTCCTGAAGTGAAACCTGTTCTTGATACCACATATGGGGTGGAGTCCACATACTTCCCTGAATGGCCATTACACTTTTTTAAATGCATCCTATTGGCTCCAGCAACCAAGAGGAAAGGCCCCTTTTAGAATCTCTTGTCTTTGGGCACATTTTCCAGCCAGAGAGATAGGTATCAAGAGAGACTCTCTTCCTAAAACATGAAGAATTTCTTGAAATCCATAAGAATATGACTGCCTGCCTTGTAATTGAAATGAATGAAGATGGTAAATAGTTTTCACACAAGAAGAAAGGCTCTTACCTATTAAAACATGCTAAAACTTCTCATACAAGGACTCCAAATTAAAACATACTGTTCTTCATTTCTCCATCTAGTGATTATATGATGAATATCAGAATAGCAGCCATCAAACTTAAGGCAAAACACTCTTTAACAAATGTGTGAGGAATTAGGCACTTAGATGTATCGCCAGTATGAGTACAAACCCTTCCTGGTGAAGAAAAACCTGGAAATCAGAATAACTTGGGCTATCAGAATTACAGAGGCTTATTCTTTTTGACCTGGCAATTTCATTTCCAGGAACTTAATTCTGTGGATATTCTTGCATGTGTATGAAAATGTGTGCATGAGTCATTACAGTGCTATTGGTAATAGCAATAGATGGAAAACAACCCAGCTGTCCATCAGCAGGGAACTGATTTAGGATATTATGGTAAATCCACACAGGGAGTCCTCTGCCGCTGTAAAGAGAGATGAAGAATCTATCTGTGTACTGATAAGAAAAGATACATTGTTAAGTGAAAAATCTAGGTGTTGGAAAATGTAAAATGTGAAACTTTCTGAATAAAAATAGGGGAAAATAAGAAAAAAATCTGTTTATTAGTATTTCTATATGCATGCATAAAGAAACCATGGAAGCATTCATAAGAATTTAAAAATAGTGGTTCCTTAGAATGGGGGTGCTTAGGAGCTAAACAGAGAGGAAACTGGATGGGGAGGGTAGTTACTATATATATTTTAGATTATTTAGCTTTTTAATTTTAATTATTAAACCACTTGATTGTTTAATCTTTGCAAAACAGTAAATTAAGCACAAATAAATATCTAGATATACTTAATAAAAGAAAATATGCTATTCTAATGTAGTCCTAAAATTTTAAAAATAAACAAAGATTGAATCATACACATTGTGGGAAAAATTCCAAGAATACAGTTCACACTGAGTTTCCCCAAAGATAGCTTATTTTTTACAGGGAGCAGAAATTCTAACTGGCCACCCTTTTAGTGTACATGGTCAATTATGTAAATTCACAAGTAGCCAAAAAAAGAATGTGTATTTACAAAGCTCTGAATGCTAAGAGAAAAACAAGTGATCAGAAACTCTCAGAATCTCTTAAATATACAACCACATGCCCAGCTTTATTTCATAGTTTTTAAACTCCAAAAATGTTTACTTTTTCCTTTCCACTTTAAGTTATAAATTAATTTAAGTTCGTGTTTTAAAATGGCAATTACAGGCATGGGGACAAAAGAAAATAAGTCTATCATAACTAAAATATAACCTTTATAAATACATAACACAGACCTTCATTTCCAGTATTTTTCCTCTTGCATTTTTCCTAATAGACTTCATTCTTTAGAGAAGATTTTGGTTCACAGCAAAGTTGAGGGGAAGGTACAGAGATTTCCCACATACCCCTGCCACCTTCCCAGATGCATAGTCTCCCCCATTATCAATATCCTTCACCAGAGTGGTACATTTGTTACAATTGATAAAACTACATTGACACATCATTATCACCTAAAGTACAACATTTACCTTAGGGTTCATTCTTGGCATTGTAAATTCTGAGTTTAGACAAATATAGTATAATGTGACCACTACTACAGCGTTATACAGAGTAGTTTCGCTGCCACAAAAATCCTCTGTGCTTAGATCCCATCGCACCTCAACTCCTGCCAATCACTTGTCTATTTATTCTCTCCACAGTTTTGCCTTTTCCAGAATGTCATATGTTTGGAATCATACAGTGTACAGCCTTTTCAGATTGGCTTCTTTCTCTTAGTAATGTGGATTTAAATTTCCTTCATGTCTTTTCATGGCTTGTTAGCTCACTTATTTTTAGTGCTGAAAAATATTCTATTATCTGGATCTACCAGGGTTTATTTGTCCATTCACCTACTGAAGGACATCTTGTGCGCTTCCAAGTTTTGGCAATTAAGAATAAAGTTTCCATAAACATCCACATTCAGGTTTTTGGGTAGACAGAAGTCTCCAACTCTTCCTTGGTTTTCATACTTTTTTTTTTTTTTATCATACTGTATTTCAATTTTGCACCCTTCTTTTTATTTAATGTACATCTCTCTTATGGTTACATCCTCATACTATTCCAGTGAGAAGATATGCTGAAGTTTACTTAGCCATTCCCTGACTTCTTAACATCTAGTTTGTTTCCCAGTTTGACATAGAAATAATAACGCTATAAACGTATTAGTGCATAATTGTTTTCCATTCTTAGACTTTTGTTTTTATGTTGGATTATTAAAGCTGAACTTACCAGTTCACAGACCATTTTCAACTCTCTTTAATAGCTACTGTCAAAATGACTTGTGTCAAGTTGGTACTACTTTATGGCCACTCTGTCAACAGACAAAGCTGTTTATGTTTTCACCCCATTCTTCTTGTTGTTCTTGTTTTCATCCTCATTAAAACCAGGTGTATCAGCTTAAAAAATTACTGACTTCATGAAGAAAAACACAATTCCCCTTTTCCTTGCATTTCTCTGATTGCTAGTGAGGATGAGTACTCTCTAGTTTGTCTATTGTGTAGCCTCATTTGTGAATGATGTATGGGCATCTTCTGCTCTTATTTATTAGGATCTTGAAGTTTTTCTTACAGATTTGTATGCATCTTTCACATCAGTCTGACATGTTTATTTCAGACATTTCCTCCAATTCCCTCTGAATTTTGGCTTTTTATTAAACACACAATAATTTTGTTCTTGTTTGCCAAAATCATTCAATATTTTCTTTTTGTCTATCACCTCTGAGTCAGATCTTCCTCCCCAACTGCACCTCACACCCTGCAGAATACAAAACAGTTGCCCTTACTCTTCTCTTCCCTTGGCTATAATTCTTTAGCTCTTTAATAAAAAGGAAAGCTTTGGGAGGTAGGCGGAGACAAATGTATTTGAAAAAATAAATAAATTAAAAAAATAAAAAGGAAAGCTGTAGGACATCATTGCTGTGAACTTAGGCTGTCATGCCCAGGGCTTAGTAAACTGGAAAAGATCTGCTTTGTCATCACTGTTTTCCTTCCAAACTGCACTAAACTAAATTTAGCTCTAATTCATGTTTCAACAATGAAAACTCACCCAATAGGATACCACAATGACATGCGATAGACAGTATTTCCCTCAGATTCTTACATCTCCCATTGAGCCAGCAAGGCTGGTAAGAATTTTTGACTAAGAGAGCCTAGTTTACAATTTACTTAAAAGAGACTTATTCTCTATCTTGGTTGGAACAGGACAGTATTTTTTCTCTGACACAAGGGATTGAGTATTGTTGGGGCCAGTCAAACCAAAGAAGATAGGAAACAGGCCAGAAGCTCTGATTAAATTAGAGAGTTGCGTGACTGAAGGGAAGTACTATTTGTGGGAAACAGCACTGTCTTTCTGGCTCAAACAAGGGTGGAGCAGGAGGCACATGCATGGAACATGTATAATGTTCCAGCCTGGCTGTTTCTCATAGAAGCCCCTCCCCCACACCAGCTGGGCATCTCTGCTTCATGGCACATGGTGGCCAGATTTAGTGAATGGGCACTGGACCAGTGGCAGAGAGATGACATTGGACAAGTTACTCACTTCACTGAGCTTCATCTCACAATCCATAAAAAGGGGAGATGTAACCTTGCTATCTATCTCACAGGATTATTATGAGGGTTAGATGAGATAGCATAGCCTTAATTATATGGAGCATGAAATGACTAAATAGCACTGATCCCCAAATCTGTCATGTGGGTACTGTGCAGGCAGGGCATGTAATGGTGCTACTCAGGGAGAACAGTGTTGCTACCTGGGTCTCTCATGGTGAGATGTCTTGGCCCCGAGAGGAGGGCTGAAAGTTTCAACCTAAATCTTGATCAGAAAGTCTGCTCAAGATAGTACAGAATGCCCTCCCGTTAGTATGCATACACCAGCATAGGACAGAGCAGGTAGGAAAGAAGGAGG